AAATTCCGCATGGTTCCTTTGTCCCCTCCTGGGGACCCCCGTGTCCCCCGCCCAGCCCTGGGTGTCACCAGTGTGACCCCTCAAAGCCCCTGAGTGAGACCCCAGTGTCCTTTGTCCCCATTCTGTGTCCCCTGTCCCCATTTCTGGGTGTCCCCAGTGTCCCCTTGTCCCTCCCTGGGTGTCCCCGAGGTCCCCTGTCCCCATTTCTGGGTATCCCAAATGTCCTTTGTCCCCATTCCAGGGTGTTCCCAGTGTCCCCTGTCCCCACTTGTGTCCCCAGTCTCCCTATTTCTGTGTCCTTTGTCCCCATTTCTGTCCCCTGTCCCCGTTTCTGTCCCCAATGTCCCCATTTGTGTCCCCATGTCTGTCCCCTGTCCCCATGTCTGTCCCCATTTCTGTGTCCCCTGTCCCCGTTTCTGTCCCCATTTCTGTCCCCAATGTCCCCATTTCTGTGTCTTTTGTCCCCATTTCTGGATGTCCCCAGTGTCCCTGTCCCCAGTCCCAATTTCTGTCCCCTGTCCCCATTTCTGTGTCCCCTGTCCCCATTATTTCTGTCCCCATGTCTGTCCCCTGTCCCCATGTCTGTCCCCATGTCTGTCCCCTGTCCCCACGTCTGTCCCCTGTCCCCACGTCTGTCCCCATTATTTCTGTCCCCTGTCCCCACATCTGTCCCTGTCCCCACGTCTGTCCCCTGTCCCCACGTCTGTCCCCATTATTTCTGTCCCCTGTCCCCACGTCTGTCCCCCGGGCAGCTCAGGACCAGGGCACGTTACGTTTTCCCGCTTTATTGGGAAGCAGAGCCTCGGCCAGTACAGTACAAAACTTACAGTAGATCTCGTTAACAACAAACCCTTAATTACAATATCTTACAGGTACAAAAGGGGCCAAAGAAAAGGGGCCAAAACCTCACAAAAAGGGGAAAAGGGAACGGGAACGCAGGAACTGCTGAACGGGGCGGGGGTTTGGGGTATTGCACATCCGTGGTTGTTCTTCATCTGCCGGGAAACAGAAATTACAGGGGGGGCTCAGGGGCCTGCGGGCCGGGGCTGGCGCCGGGAACGGGGAAAGGGGGAAAGGGAATAAAATGGGAAATAAAAGGGGGAAATGGGGAAAAGGGAAATAAAATGGGAAATAAAATGGGGAAATGGGGGAAAAGGGAATAAAATGGGAAATAAAATGGGGAAATGAAAAAGGAAAACAGGGGGGAAGCGGGGGGGAAATGGGGGAAAAAAGGGGAAAAAAGGGAAATAAAATGGGAAAATAAGGGGGAAATGGGGAAAAAAGGGGGGGGAAAAGGAATAAAATGGTAAAATAGGGGGAAAAGGGGATAAAATGGGGAAATAGGGGAAAAAAGAGGAAAAAATGGGAAAATAGGGGGAAAAGGGAAATAAAATGAAAGGGGGAGAAAAAAGGGGAAAAAAGGGAAATAAAATGAAAAGCCAGGGGGGAAGGGAAAAGAGAAGGGAAAAAAGAAAACAAAAATGGGAAAAAAACCCCAACCCAACCAACCCCAGAGGGGCTGGAAAGGGCAGAGCTTTGATTTAGGTTCCAAGCCCCTTTTTGGGGTTCCAAGCCCCTTTTTGGGTTTCAAAGCCCCTTTTTTGGGGTTCCAAGCCCCTTTTTGGCGTTTAAAAACCCTTTTTTGGGGGGTTCAAAACCCTTTTTGGGGCTCAAAAACCCTTTCTTGGGGCTCAAAAACCCTTTTGGGGGGCTCAAAACCCTTTTTTTGGGTTCAGAAACCCTTTTTTGGGGGTTCAAAACCCTTTTTTGGGTTTACAGCCCCAGCTTTTGGGTTCAAAAAGCCCCAGTTCGGGGTTCCAAGCCCCTTTTTTGGGGTTCCAAGCCCCTTTTTTGGGTTGGTTCTGGCGCCGGGGGAGGGCTGGGGTACCCCCAAAAGGGGGGGTGGGAGCGGGGGACCCCCCCGAGCGCCGTGGGGGAGGGGAGGGGGGGACAGAGTCCCCAAATGTCCCCAGAGTCGGGGCAGGGGCAGCGGGCGCTGCTGAGGTGCTCGTGGTGTCCCCAGCTGGGGACAGCTTTGGTTTGGGCCCCGCCGCCACCGCGGGGGCGACTGGTGCGTCCTGGGCAGGGGGACCCCCAAACGGGGAGGGGGGACATTTGGGGTGGGGGGTTTTGGGGGCTCCCCCCGTCCCATCCCGGGGTTCCCGGGTAAAGCTGGGGACGGGGCAGCTCCCCCCGGGCTGGGGGGCTCGGGCTGGGTTTGGGGGGTCCCGGGGGGGTTAGCACCGAATTTTGAGGTTCCTTTAGGCCGGGCACGGGGCCGGCGGGAGCAGGGCCAGGGGGGAACAGTCTCCAAAATTCAAGTGAGACCCTTTTTTTGTCTTTTTTTTTTGGGTGAAAAAACCCCAAGAATTATCAAAAGATAATAATAAATAACGAGGAGAGGGAAAAAAAAAGCACAAAAAAAGTCATTTCCTATTCAAATATTTAAATAAGTTTATAAAAAGGAGGATGAAGGGCTCCCCCTGGGTGGGTTTTTGGGGTGGGTTTCTGTTTTTTTGGGGTTTTTCTTGTTGTTGGTTTTTTTTAAATACTTTTTTGTTTTGTTTTTTTCTTGGTTTTTTTATAGCCAAAGTCAGTGCAAAGGAGTATAAAAGAAAAAAAAAACAATAATAAAAAACAACACAACCCAACAGTTCCATGCCCAAAGGATGGGAGGGGGAAAATTGGGGGCAAAAATGGGAAATTTGAGGTGGGGATTTTTCCAACCTCACGTTTTGTGCTCGTGGTGAACGATGTGGGAGAGGAAAAAAGGGAAAATTGGGGGGAAAAAATGGGAATTTGAGGTGGGGGGAGATTTTTTTCCAACCTCACATTTTGCCCACGATGTGGGAGGGGAAATTTGGGGAAAAAAATGGGAATTTGAGGTGGGGGGAGATTTTTTTCCAACCTCACATTTTGCCCACGATGTGGGAGGGGAAATTTGGGGAAAAAAATGGGAATTTGAGGTGGGGGGAGATTTTTTTTCCAACCTCCCATTTTGCCCACGATGTTGGGAGGGAAAAATTTGGGAAAAAATGAAAATTTGAAGCAGGGGGGGATTTTTGTCCAACCTCACATTTTGTGTTTGGTGTGCACAATATAAAAGGGGAAATTGGAGGGGAAATGGGAGGAAAAAATCAGGGAAAAAAGGGGAATTTGAGGCAGGGAAGAATTTTTTTCCAACCTCACATTTTGTGCTCGTCGTGCACAACGTGGGAGGGGAAAATTGAGGGAAAAAATGGGAATTTGAGGTATGAAGATTTTTTTTTCCAGCCTCACATTTTGCCCATGATGCGGGAGAGGAAATGGGATGAGAAAAAGGAGAATTTGAGGGAGTTTTCCAACCTCCCACACATTTTGGGTTTGGGAGGGGAAAACTGAGGTGAAATCAGGAAATTTCAGGCAGGAGGAGGGGATTTTCCCAACTTATATCCTCTGCTCACCATGCACAATTTAAGAGGGGAAAATTGGGATGAAATCAGGAAATTTCAGGCAGGAAAGAGGAGTTTTTCCCACCTCTTATCTTGTGCTCACCAGGCACGATGTAGGACAGGAAAATTGGGGTGAAATTGGGAAACTGGAGGAAGGAAGGGAGGGATTTTCCCACCTCACATCTTGTGTTTGCTGAGCAGGATTTAGGAGGGGAAATTTGGGATGAAATCAGGAAATTTCAGGCAGGAAGGGGAGGTTTTTCCACTTTGTATCTTGTGCTCACCAGGCACGATTTAGGAGGGGAAAATTGGGATGAAATCAGGAAATTTCAGGCAGGAAGGGGAGGTTTTTCCACTTTGTATCTTGTGCTCACCAGGCACGATTTAGGAGGGGAAAATCGGGGTGAAATGGGGGAACTGGAGGAAGGAAAGAAGGGGATTTTCTCACCTCACATTTTGTGTTTGCTGAGCACGATTTAGGAGGGGAAAATTGGGATGAAATCAGGAAACTGGAGGCAGGAAGGGGGAGTTTTCCCCACCCCACATTTTCTGCTCACCACGCACCATTTAGGAAGGGAAAATCGAGCTGAAATCGGGGTGAAATCAGGAAATTGGAGGCAGGAAGGGAGAGTTTTTCCCACCCCACATTTTGCGCTCACCACGCACCATTTAAGAGGTGAAAATCGGGCTGAAATCGGGAAACTGGAGGCAGGAGGAGGGGATTTTCCCACCTCACATCTTTTGTTTGCTGAGCACGCTTTAGGAGGTGAAAATCGGGCTGAAATCGGGAAACTGGAGGCGGGAGGAGGGAATCTTCCCACCTCATATCTTGTGCTCGCCACGCACGATGTGCGAGGAGAACTCGTAGCGGTCCTGGCTGCGGTAGCCGCAGATGTTGCACTCGAAAGGGTCCCTGAAGCCGTGGCAGCCCATGTGGATGGTGAACATGACGTGGTCCAGGAAGAGCACGCGGCAGTGCTCGCAGCAGAAGGCGCGCAGCTGCTCGCCCTCCTCGTTGAGCACCCTCAGCGACTCCTTGGGGAAGCAGCAGCGCGCCGCTCCGTCCGGCTCCTCCTTGGGCTCCTCCTTGGCGAAGGCGGGGCTGTGCCGGCTGCTGCCGCCGCCCGCCCGCTCCTCCTGGATGCTCTCGGTGTCCGTGGAGTCCTGGCAGCCGTTGGAAGGCGAGCCCCCGCCGTCCCCGGCGGCGGCGGCGCGGCTGCGGAAGATCACCGGGATGCCCTCGGCGCCGTCCTCGGAGGGGTCGCGGCCCCGCGGCAGCTCCAGGCGGGCGGGCAGCGCCTGGATCTGCGTGTACACGGAGCTGATGACCGGCGTCACCTCGGTGATGCAGTTGGTGGCCAGGCGCAGCGGGCGCAGCGGGTCCCCGGCGCCCAGCAGGGACAGCGGGCCGGCGTAGGGCGGCTCCAGGCCGTGCCCGCGGGCAGGAACCACCTCCACGTCCTTGTCGAAGCCCGGGCTGACATCGAAGGGCAGCTCCGAGAGGGCGAAGCGCATCTGCTTCTCGCCTGCGGGGAGAGGGGGAGGCCCGCGGTCAGGGAGAGGGCACCCCGCAATCGGAGAGAGGGCACCCCGGAATCGGAGAGGGGCTGGGGACACTCTCAGGGCACCCAAAAATCACCCAGAGGGTTTGGGGACACGCTCAGGACACCCCGGAGTCAGAGAAAGGGGTTTGGGACACCCTCAGGGCACCCCAAAATCAGAGAGAGGGGCTGGGGACATGCTCAGGGCACCCCGGAATCAGAGAGAGGGTGTGGGGACACCCTGGAGTCAGAGAGAGGGGCTGGAGACACCCCAGAACCAGAGAGAGGGGCTGGGGACACCCTCAAGACACCCCAAAATCACTGAGAGCGCACCCCGGAATCACTGAGAGGGGCTGGAGACATCCTCAGGGCACCCCGGAGTCAGAGAGAGAGTTTGGGAATACCCCAAAGTCAGACAGAGGGGTTGGGGACACCTCAAAATGAGAGAGGGCATGGGGACACCCTCAGGGCACCCCAAAATCAGAGAGAGGGGCTGGGGACACCCTCAGGGCACCCCAAAATCAGAGAGAGGGGCTGGAGACACGCTCAGGGCACCCCAAAATCAGAGAGAGGGGCTGGGGACACGCTCAGGGCACCCCAAAATTAGAAAGAGGGGCTGGGGACACCCCAGATTGAGAGAGAGGGGCTGGGGACACCCTCAGGGAACCCCAAAATCACTGAGAGGGCACCCCAGAGTCAGAGAGACGTGCCGGAGACACCCTGGAATCAGAGAGAGGAGAGAGGGGCTGGGGACACCCTCAGGGCACCCCAAAATCAGAGAGAGGGGTTGGGGACACCCTGGAATCAGAGAGAGGGGCTGGGGACACCCTCAGGGCACCCCGGAGTCAGAGAGAGGGCACCCCGAAATCGGAGAGAGGGGCTGAGGACACCCCAGAGTCAGAGAGAGGGGCTGGGGACACACTCAAGACACCCCAAAATCACTGAGAGGGCACCCCGGAGTCAGAGAGAGGGGCTGGGGACACCCTCAGGGCACCCCGGAATCAGAGAGAGGGCACCCCAAAATCAGAAAGAGGGGCTGGGGACACTCTCAGGGCACCCAAAAATTAGAGACAGGGCACCCCAAAATCACTGAGAGGGGCTGGGGACACTCTCAGGGCACCCAAAAATTAGAGACAGGGCACCCCAAAATCACTGAGAGGGGCTGGGGACACTCTCAGGGCACCCAAAAATTAGAGACAGGGCACCCCAAAATCACTGAGAGGGGCTGGGGACACTCTCAGGGCACCCAAAAATTAGAGACAGGGCACCCCAAAATCACTGAGAGGGGCTGGGGACTCTCTCAGGGCACCCAAAAATCACCCAGAGGGGCTGGGGACACCCTCAAGGCACCCAAAAATTAGAGACAGGGCACCCCAAAATCACTGAGAGGGGCTGGAGACACCCTCAGGGCACCCCAGAATCAGAGAGAGGGGCTGGGGACACTCTCAGGGCACCCCAAAATCACCGAGAGGAATCGGAGTGGGATGAGGGTACCAAAATTTGGGATTTTTAATTTGAGGGGCTTCTTTTCATTTAAGGGGTTAATTTTTATTTTGAGGGCAGACATTTTGAATTTGAGGGGCTTTTCTGTTAATTTGAGGACAGAATGTTTTAATTTGAGAATGATTTATAATTTGAGGGTTTTTTTTTTTTAATTTAAGGGTTTCTTTTTAATTTGAAGGCAGAATTCTTTAATTTGAGGGGGTATTTTTTAAATTTAAGGGGTTTTTTGTTAATTTTAGGAGGTTTTTTGCTTATTTGAGGCTCATTTTGAGGCCTTTGTGTGTGGGGATTCCTCTTCCTGCCCCACATCTCCCAGGGGGGAATTTTTCCAACTTTTCCAGCCCCTTAACCCCAAATTTCTGGGGCTTACAGCATTTCCTCTGGGTTTTTTGTTAATTTGAGGGTTTTCTTTCACTAATTTGCATGTATTTTTTAATTTAAAGGGGTTTTCTAATGTGTGAGGAGAAATATCTTTAATTAAAGCTTTTATAAAAAAATGAGTTGCTTTTTTCTTTATTTGAATTTATATTTTTCAATTTGAGATTTTTTTTTGTTAATTTGAGGATTTTTTGGTTAATTTGCTGGTATTTTTTCATTTAAGGGTTTTTTAAAATGTGAGGGGAATTTTTTTTTTAATTTTGATGGGTTTTTTAAGAGATTATTTTCTTTTAATTTAAATTGATCTTTTAATTTGAGCCGGTTTTTTGTTAATTTGAGGTCCATTTTGGGGCTTTTGTGTGGGGATTTCCCTTCCCACGCAGCTCCCCCCTCACACCCGGCCATCCCTGAGGCCGCCCCTCACTTCCCGCTGAGGGAATTTTTCCATCTTTTCTATCTTTCCCTTACCCACAAATTTCTGCGGCTTGGAGCGTTTCCTCTGGGTTTTTGTTGATTTCAGGATTTTTTGATTAATTTCCTAGCATTTTTTTCATTTAAGGGAGTTTTTGAAATGTGAGGGGAAATTTTTTAAATTATTTTTTAAAATAGATTATTTTCTTCTAATTTGAAATGATCTTTTAATTTAAGCCCTTTTTTTGTTAATTTGAGGTCCATTTTGGGGCTTTTGTGTGGGGATTTCCCTTCCCACGCAGCTCCCCCCTCACACCCGGCCATCCCTGAGGCCACCCCTCACTTCCCGCTGAGGGAATTTTTCCATCTTTTCCATCTTTCCCTTACCCACAGATTTCTGCGGCTTGGAGCATTTCCTCTGGGTTTTTGTTGATTTGAGGATTTTTTGGTTAATTTCCTGGTATTTTTTAATTTAAGGGAGTTTTTGAAATGTGAGGGGAAATTTTAAAATTTTTTTGTTGTTGTTTTTAAAATAGATTATTTCCTTTTAATTTTAAATTATCTTTTCATTTGAGCCGGTTTTTTTCTTAATTTGAGGTCCATTTTGGGGCTTTTGTGTGGGGATTTCCCTTCCCGCGCCGCTCCCCCTCACACCCGGCCATCCCTGAGGCCGCCCCTCACTTCCCGCCGAGGGAATTTTTCCATCTTTCCCTTACCCACAAATTTCTGCGGCGTGGAGCGTTTCCTCTTGGTGAAGCTCCCCGCCAGCCGCTCGATGAAGGTGGGGCGCTCAGGGTGCAGCAACGCCTCGGGCACCATATCCAGCTCCCGGATTTCCTCTCCTACAGAACGCAAACAAAGGGAAAAAAAAAAAAAAAAAAAAATCCCGGGATGAGCAGGGCGGGAGCTGCGGGCTGGGAGGGCCCCGGGGAGCGGCTGCCGGAGCCCGAGCTTACCCCGTGCGTGTCCCCGCGGCGCCGGCAGCCGCTCCCGGATCCCTCCTGCTTCCAGCGGGGCCCGCTCCTGCCGCGGTGAGGGGGGAGAGGAGGCGGCTTCAGGCCTAGGAGCGCTCCGCCAGCCCCGCCATTGCCCCCGGGGAGAGCGGCCGGGGATGGGGCCTGAGCTGGGGGGGATTGCGGCCGGGGAGGGTCGCTGAGGATCAAAATGCTGCGGGGGAACGGCCCCGAGCCTAAAAATGCTGGTGTGAAATGGCCACTGAGCTGGGGGATTCCGGTCGGGGATGGTCAGTGATGCCGGAAATCCTGCTCTGAAATGGCCCCTGGATGGGGGATCCGGTCAGGAATGGGCCCTGAGCCTAAAAATCCTGCTCAGAAATGGGTCCTGATCCTAAAAATCCTGCTCTGAAATGGCCCCTGGATGGGGGATCCGGTCAGGAATGGGCCCTGAGCCTAAAAATCCTGGTCTGGAACAATCCCTGATCCTAAAAATCCTGGTCAGGAATGGGCCCTGAGCCTAAAAATCCTGGTTGGGAATGGTCCCTGATCCTAAAAATCCTGGTCAGGAATGGTCCCTGATCCTAAAAATCCTGGTCAGGAATGGGCCCTGATCCTAAAAATCCTGGTCGGGAATGGCCCCTGGATGGGGGATCCGGTCAGGAATGGGCCCTGAGCCTAAAAATCCTGGTCGGGAATGGCCCCTGGATGGGGGATCCGGTCAGGAATGGGCCCTGAGCCTAAAAATCCTGGTCTGGACTCTGATCCTAAAAATCCTGCTCTGGAATGGACCCTGAACTGAAGGATTCCAGTCAGGGATGATCACTGATCCTAAAAATCCCACACTGAAATGGCCCCTGATCCTGGGAATCCCAGTTTGGAATATTCCCAAAAATCCCACACTGAGATGGCCCCTGATCCTAAATATCCCAGTTTGGAATATTCCCAAAAATCCCACACTGAGATGGCCCCTGATCCTAAATATCCCGGTTTGGAATATTCCCAAAAATCCCACACTGAGATGGCCCCTGATCCTAAATATCCCGGTGGTTCCAGGGGCCAGGAATGCCCCAATTTTGGCTTTTTCCCAGGAAAATTCAGCCTCGCTGCAGCTCCCGAGGCTGGAAAAGGCTCCGGGAATTTCTGGGAACGGGGGTTTGGGGTCAGGGATTTGGGATCTGCTGTGGGGGCGTGGACTCACGGCACCGGGAGCACATTCCCAACATTCCCAACACTCCCACCCCTTTTCCATGGATTTGGGATCACATTCCCAACCCTTTTCCATGGATTTGGGATCACAATCCCTCATTCCCACCCCTTTTCCATGGATTTGGGATCACGTTCCTAACATTCCCAACCCTTTTCCATGGATTTGGGATCCCAAAGCCCCATTTCTTGTCCCCAGGGGGTTCAGGATCCGGGATTTTTGTGGGATTTCCCTGGGATTCTTCCACAATTTCCCTGGGATCCTTCCAGGATTTTTCTGGGATTCTTCCAGGATTTTTCCAGGATTTCCAGACCCACCTGTCTGTTCGGGGTTTTCCTTTCGAGGCTTCCTTGATCCACGGATTTGGGATCCCAATTCCCCCTTTCCCACCCCATTTCCTGTCCCCAGGCGTTTGGGATCTGGGATTTTTGTGGGATTTTCCTGGGATTTTCCCAGGACTTCTTCAGGATTTTCCTGGGATTTTCCTTGGATTTTTCCCAGGATTTCCCTGGGATTTTTCCAGGATTTCTCCAGGATTTTTCTGGGATTTTTCCAGAATTTCTCCGGGATTTTCCTGGGATTTTTCCGGGATTTCTCCAGGATTTTCCCAGAATTTCTCTGAGATTTTTCCAGGATTTTTCCGAGATTTTTCCAGGATTTTTCCAAGATTTCCAGACCCACCTGTCTTGTGTGACTTTTCCCTCTGCAGGGAGCCATGGCAGCGCTCCTTTTATCCACGGATTTGGGATCCAGGATTTTTGTGGGATTTCTCTGGGATTTTTCCATGATTTTCCCAGGATTTTTCTGAGATTTTTCTGGGATTCCATTCCCAGGCTTTCCAGTTGTTCCAAGGCTGGGAATGGGGATTTTTCTGGGATTTTTCCTGGGATTTCTCTGGGATTTTTCCTGGGGTTTCTCCATGATTTTCCCAGGATTTTTCCGTGATTTTTCTAGGACTTTTCCAGGAATTTCCCAGGATTTTTCTGGGATTCTTCCAGGACTTTTCCAGGATTTTCCTGGTGTTTCCCTGGCATTTTTGTGGGATTTTTCCAGGACTTTTCTAGGATTTTCCCTGGATTTTTCCATTATTTTTCCATGATTTCTCCAGGATTTTCCTGGGGTTTTTCCGTGATTTTTCCCTGGGATTTTCATGGGATTTCCCTGGGGTTTTTCCAGGATTTTCCTGGGATTTTACTGGGATTTCTGTGGGATTTTCCCGGGATTCACCTGTCTGGGCAGGGCTCTCCCTCTGCAGGAAGCCGTGGCAGCGCTCCCTGTATCCATGGATTTGGGATCCCATTCCCATCCCTGGGGATTTGGGATCTGGGATTTCTGTGGAATTTTCCAGGATTTCTGTGGGATTTTTCCAGGATTTTCCCCGATTTTACCTGTCTGGGCAGGGCTCTCCCTCTGCAGGAAGCCGTGGCAGCGCTCCCGGTGCTCCTCCAGGCTGCTCTGCTGCTTGTAGCTGCGGCCACACGAGCTGCACTTGTAGGGCTTGCCCACCGTCGGGGACGAGACTGGGAACAGGAACGTGGAAATCAGGATTTGGGGTTTGGAAATCGGGATTTGGGGTTTGGGATAGATCCCAGTACAAACTGCACTTGGGTTTGCCCACAGTCGGGGAGGAAACTGGGAATAATGGGAACAGGACACGGGATCAGGATTTGGGGTTTGGAAATCAGGATTTGGGATATGGAAATCAGGATTTGGGGTTTAGAAATCAGGATTTGGGATATGGGATTTGGGATATCTCCCAGTACAAACTGCACTTGTAGGGTTTGCTCACGGTCGGGGAGGAGACTGGGAATAATGGGGAAAGGAACGTGGAAATCAGGATTTGGGGTTTGGAAATCGGGATTTGGGGTTTGGGATTTGGAAATCGGGATTTGGGTTATCTCCCGGTACAAACTGCACTTGTAGGGTTTGCTCACGGTCGGGGAGGAGACTGGGAATAATGGGGACAGGAATGTGGAAATCAGGATTTGGGATTTGGGATGTGGGGTTTGGAAATCAGGATTTGGGATATGGAGAACTGGATTTCTTTAGGATTTCCCCTCCCTCTCCCCCATTTCCCACCCTTTGAAAAACCCAAGAATTCCCCTGCAAACCCCAACCAACAACCCTGAAGCGGCACTGGGACCCCTCCCCACCAAACCACGGCCACTGTGCCCCACTCCCAACATTCCCGACCCCATCCCCAATATCCCTGACCCCATTCCCAACCCCATTCCCAACGTTCCCAACCCCATTCCTAACATCCCTGACCCCATTCCCAACATCCCCACCCTACTCCCAACGTTCCCAACCCTGTTCCCAACATTCCCACCCCATTCCCAAAATCCCCATCCCATTCCCAACATCCCTGACCCCGTTCCCAACATCCCAACCCCATCCCCAACATTCCCAAACCCATTCCCAATGTTCCCAACACCATTCCATTACCTGACCCCATTCCCAACGTCCCCAACCCCATTCCCAAAATCCCCACCCCGTTCCCAACATTCCCACCCCATTCCCAACCCCGTTCCCACCGGAGTGGGTGCGCAGGTGCCCGCTGAGGGCGTCGCGGCGCCGGCAGGCGTAGGAGCAGAAGGGGCACTTGAAGGGCTTCTCCCCCGAGTGCAGCTTGATGTGGCGCAGCAGGTTCCCCTTCTGCGTGAAGGACGCGCCGCACTGCTGGCACTGGAAGGGCCGTTCTCCTGCAAATCCCAAAAAACCCCCAAAAAACCCCAAAAATTAACCCCAATCCAGCACTGCTGGCACTGGAAGGGCCGTTCTCCTGAAAACCCAAAAAACCCCAAAAAAACCCCAAAAATTAACCCCAATCCAGCACTGCTGGCACTGGAAGGGCCGTTCTCCTGCAAATCCCAAAAAACCCCAAAAATTAAACATAAACTGGCACTGCTGGCACTGGAAGGGCCGTTCTCCTGCAAAACCCCAAAAAAAACCCAAAAAAACCCCCATTTTTGCCCCGTTTTTGCCCGTTTTTATCCATTTTTTCCGATTTTTTTTGCATTTTTTCCCATTTTATCCCATTTTTTTCCCAAAACTCCCGTAATTCACCCAAAAACGGGTGAGGGGAGGGGGAAATGGGGGAAAATGGGATGGAATTCCTGGAGAAATGGGATTAGGAGAGGGGGAATGGGGTGAATTCCCCAAAAAACAGGGTCAGGGGAGGGGGAATGGGGTGAAATCAGGTGGAATTCACCAAAAAACGAGGTCAGGAGAGGGGAAAATGGGGAAAAAGGGGGTGGAATTCCCAGAGAAATAGGGTTGGGAGAGGGGGAATGGGGGAAAATGGGGTGGAATTCCTGGAGAAATGGGGTCAGGAGAGGGAAAAATGGGGGGAAATGGGGCGGAATTCACCCAAAAACGGGTCAGGGGAGGGGGAAATGGGGGAAAATGGGATGGAATTCCTGGAGAAATGGGATTAGGAGAGGGGGAATGGGGTGAATGAGCACGGTGGGCGCGATGCACACCATCCCGCACTCCGGAATTCCCATTTTTTTTGCGTATTTTCCCCCTTTTTTTGGCGTTTTTCTCCATTTTTTCCCGTTTTTTTCCCGTTTTTGCCCCTTTTCGCCCCGTTCCCTCACCGGTGTGGCTGCGCTTGTGCACCATGAGCACGTTGGGCCCGATGCACACCATCCCGCACACGTCGCACTGCAGCTTGCCGTTGGGCAGGCGGATCCCGCCGGGCTCCGGCAGCGCCTCCTCGCCCAGCCCCTCGCGGCCCTCGCGCGACGGCGCCCGCCCCGACGACTCCTCGTCCGACGACATCTCCACCTTGATGGAGCTGGCTGCAGTTCCCCCAGAAAGCGGTCAGGGGAGGGGGAATGGGGGGATTCACCCAAAAAATGGGTCAGGGGAGGGGAAATGGGGGGATTCACCCAAAAACGGGGTCAGGGGAGGGGGAATGGGGGGGAATTCCTGGAGAAATGGGATTAGGAGAGGGGGAATGGGGTGAATTCCCCAAAAAACAGGGTCAGGGGAGGGGGAATGGGGTGAAATCAGGTGGAATTCACCAAAAAACGAGGTCAGGAGAGGGGAAAATGGGGAAAAAGGGGGTGGAATTCCCAGAGAAATAGGGTTGGGAGAGGGGGAATGGGGGAAAATGGGGTGGAATTCCTGGAGAAATGGGGTCAGGAGAGGGAAAAATGGGGGGAAATGGGGCGGAATTCACCCAAAAACGGGTCAGGGGAGGGGGAAATGGGGGAAAATGGGATGGAATTCCTGGAGAAATGGGATTAGGAGAGGGGGAATGGGGTGAATTCCCCAAAAAACAGGGTCAGGGGAGGGGGAATGGGGTGAAATCAGGTGGAATTCACCAAAAAACGAGGTCAGGAGAGGGGAAAATGGGGAAAAAGGGGGTGGAATTCCCAGAGAAATAGGGTTGGGAGAGGGGGAATGGGGGAAAATGGGGTGGAATTCCTGGAGAAATGGGGTCAGGAGAGGGAAAAATGGGGGGAAATGGGGCGGAATTCACCCAAAAACGGGTCAGGGGAGGGGGAAATGGGGGAAAATGGGATGGAATTCCTGGAGAAATGGGATTAGGAGAGGGGGAATGGGGTGAATTCCCCAAAAAACAGGGTCAGGGGAGGGGGAATGGAGTGGAATTCCTGGAGAAATGGGGTTGGGAGAGGGGAAATGGGGGAAATGGGGTGAAATTCCCAAAAAACGGGGTCAGGAGAGGGAAAATTGAGGAAAATGGGGTGGAATTCCTGGAGAAATGGGGTCGGGAGAGGGAAAAAAAGGGGGAAAATGGGATGGGGAGGGGGATTTGGGAAAAGGGATCAGGGAAGGGATTTTGGGGAGGAATTTGGGAATCGGGGAGGGGATTTGGATTCCTCCCCCGCAGCTTTTCCCTGGAATTCTCTCTGGGATCCTCCCCTGCTGCTCCCGGGGAATTCCAGGGAAATTCCAGGGACAATTCCAGGGAAATTCCAGGACAATTCCTGGGAAATTCCAGGGAAATCCCAGGACAATTCCAGGGTCAATTCCAGGGAAATTCCTGGGAAATTCCAGGACAATTCCAGGGAAAATTCCAGGACAATTTCAGGGAAATTCCAGGACAATTTCAGGGAAATTCCAGGGGAAATTCCAGGGAAATTCCAAGACAATTCCAGCCCTTCCCGGGGAATTCCCACCAGGAGCAGCTCCCTGCCCCTCCCAGCATCATTCCCACATTTTTTCAGGAATTTCCCCCCCCTCCCCCCCTCATTCCTCCCCCTGGAATCCCGGAATTCCCGGGAATGGGGGAGGGGCCACATTCCAGAGGGATTTTCCACATTCCAGAGCTCCAGGGGCTCCTCCAGGACAGGAAAAAAAGGGAAATAAAAAGAGGTGGGAGCGAATTCCCAGAGAATTCCCAAAGAATTCCAGGGGTTTTCCCACATTCCGTGGGAATCCTTTGGAATGCCGAAATTCCAGAGCTCCCAGGGTTTTGGGTTTTTTTTGGGACAAAAAGGAGATTTTTAAAAGGGATTTGGGGGAATTCCAGGAATGTTTTCAACATTCCAGAGGATTCCCGGGGCCTCACCCTTTGGAATGTGGAAATTCCAGAGATTCCGGGGAAAATGGGGGGAAAGGAGGGATGGGAGGGAATTCCAGGGGTTCTGCTCCCGGAATTCCAGGGTTGGATGGATCCCATTCCCAAAGGCAGAATTTGGGATGGAAATCCCAGAGTTTGGGATTGATCCCACTCAGAATTTGGGATTGAAATCCCAGAATTTGGGATTGATCCCATCCTAATCCTAGTCTGGGATTGAAATCCCAAAATTTGGGATCAATCCCATCCCAATCCCAGAATTTGGGGTTGATCCCAATCCCAGAATTTGGGATTGATCCCATCCCAACCCCAGTCTGGGATTGAAATCCCAAAATCTGGGATCAATCCCATCCCAATTCCAGTTTGAGACTGAAATTCTGGAGTTTGGGATTTATCCCACCTGGAATTTGGGGTTGATCCCAATCCCAGAGTTTGGGGTTGATCCCAATCCCAGATTTCTCCTTTCCCCTTTTCCCCTGACAAACAAAGCCCCGAGGAGGGAGAGCTGCAATTCCTGCCGGGAATTCCGGAATGTTCTGAGAATGTTTGGGAATATTCTGGGGATATTTGGGAATATTTAGGGAATATTCTGGGGATATTTTGGGAATCTTTTGGGGATATTTAGGGAATATTCTGGGGATATTTTAGGGAATATTTAGGGGATATTTTGGGAATATATTTGGAATATTCTGGGAATATTTTTTGAATATTCTGGGGATATTTGGGGGATACTTTGGGAATATTTAGGGAAAATTCTGGGGATATTCTGGGAATATTTAGGGAATATTCTGGGGATATTTTGGGAATATTTTGGGGATATTTTGGGAATATTTTGGGTATATTTAGGGGATATTTTGGGAATATTCTGGGGATATCTTGGGAATACTTTGGGAATATTTTAGGAATATTCTGGGGATATTCTGGGAATATTTAGGAATATTTAGGGAATATTCTGGGGACAATCTGGGGATATTTTGGAAATATTTTTGGAATATTCTGGGGATATTTTGGGAATATTTTGGGGATATCTTGGGAGTATTTAGGGAATATTTTAGGAATATTCTGGGGATACTTTGGGAATATTTAGGGAATATTCCGGGTATATTCTGGGAATATTTTGGGAATATTCTGGGGATATTTTGGAAATATTTTGGGGATATTCTGGGAATATCTTGGGGACATTCTGGGAACATTCTGGGGATATTTTTGGGACCTTTTTGGGACATTCTGGGGCCCTGCCGTACTCACCGGGGGAGCGCGGGGACGAGCGGGGGCTGGGGGGGCTCCGGGCCGCCCCTCCCCCCACGGCCGAGCGGAATTCCTGCTCCAGGGGGGAATCCCCACGGCCTGGAAAACCGGGAGAAACCGGGATGGGCCCGGGAAGGAGCCGGGAAAACCGGGATGGGCCCGGGAATTCCCACCCGGAAAAACCGGGATGGGCCCGGAATTCCCACCCAGAGAAACCGGGATGGGCCCGGGAAGGAGCCGGGAAAACCGGGATGGGCCCGGGAATTCCCACCTGGAAAAACCGGGATGGGCCCGGGAAGGAGCCGGGAAAAACCGGGATGGGCCCGGAATTCCCACCCGGAAAAACCGGGATGGGCCCAGGAAGGAGCCCGGAAAACCAGGATGGGCCCGGGAATTCCCACCGGGAAAAAACGGGAAGGGCCCGGGAATTCCCACCGGGAAAAAACGGGAAGGGCCCCAGAATTCCCAACAATAAAAAACTGGGAAGGACCCCGGAATTCCCACCGGGAAAAAAACCGGGATGGGCCCGGGAAGGAGCTGGAATTCCCACTGGGAAAAAATGGAAAGGGCCCCAGAATTCCCAACAATAAAAAACCGGGAAGGAGCCGGAATTCCCACCCGAAGCTGGGGGAGGGGCTGGGGCTGGGAGCCCCCCATTCCTGACCCCAAAACCCCCCTGGATTTGGGAATTCCTGACCCCAAAATTCCCCCCGGATTTGGGAATTCCTCCCCCCCATTCCCACACCTGGATTTGGGAATTACCCCTCCCCCCACCAATTCCTGACCCCAAAATCCCCCCTGGATTTGGGAATTCTCCCCCTCAATTCCTGGTCCCAAAATTCCCTGGATTTGGGAATTCCTGACCCCATTCCTGATCCCAAAATCCCCCCCTGGATTCAGGAATTCTCCCCCCCATTCCTGATCCTAAATTCCCTTGGATTTGGGAATTCCCCCCAGTTCCTGACCCCAAAATCCCCCCCGGATTTGGGAATTCCTGACCCCAAAATCCCCCCCGGATTTGGGAATTCCCCCCCCCCCGCTCCAGGGATTCCCTTTCCCAGCATCTGGAATGCCCCAATTCCCTCCCCCATCCCAAAATCTGATCCCAAATTTTCCTCCCCCCACCCCCAAATTCCCAATCCGAATTGGGGCAGTCCCCTCCCCTCCCCTCCCACCGTGGGAACTGCCGGAATTTTGGGATGGAAAATTCCCCCCGGAGCAGCTGGGAATGAGATTTCCAAACTTTTCCGGCCCAGCTGGAATTTTTGGCCGGGCCCAAAAACCTCCCCGGGAGTTTCCCAAACATTCCCGAGCTCCCGGGGGGGCTGGAAAATTCCCAAATTCCCGGGAAGCGCCTGGGAAAGGCCGGAGGAGCCGTTCCCACTCCCGGGAATGTTGGGAATGTTGGGAATGTTGGGAATGCCGGCCCGGGGGGCCGGGGGGGAAATTCCCGATGTTCCAGGGGAGAATCCCGGGGAAAAATCGGGATTTTAGGGGGGGTCGGGGTTTGCAGGGATTGGGAAATTTGGGATTGATGAATTCCCGCTGTGGGAGCTCCAAATTCCCATCAGAATTATCCCGAAATATCCCAAATTCCCCTCGAAATTATCCCGAAATATCCCCAAATTCCCCTCCAAAATCATCCCAAAATATTCCCATATCCCCCTCCAGAATTCCCAAATTCCCCTCCAGATTTATCCCTAAATTCCCCTCCAGAATTATCCCTAAATATCCATAAATTCCCCTTCAGGATTAGCCCTAAATATCCTTAAATTCCCCTCCAGAATTCCCAAATTCCCCTCCAGAATTCCCAAATTCCCCTCCAGAATTCCCGAATTCCTCTCCATATTTATCCCTAAATATCCCTAAATCCCCTTCAAAATTATCCCTAAATATCCCGAAATTCCCCCCCAGATTTGTCCCTAAATATCCCAAAATTCCCCTTCAGGATCCTCAAATCCCCCTCCAGAATTCCCAAATTCCCTCTGGAGCTGATCCAGGGGCAAATCCCCAAACCCCAAAGATCCCAAATCCCCAAAATCCCAAAAATCCCTTTGGGATGACCCCAGAGCCTCATCCCGACCCCACCTGGCTCGGTGGTCCGATTCCAGGATCCCTAAATCCCCTCTCTGCCTACCCAGAGACAAATCCCACCCCAAAAAAATCCCCAAAATCCCAAAAATCCCAAAAAACCGCCCGGACTGACCTTTGGGAATCCCCTGCAGCCTCATCCCAATCCCACCCAGACCCCAAGAGCTTTTTCCCATAAAAAAGGAAATTCCAGGATCCCTAAATCCCCTCTCTGCCTATCCAGAGACAGATCCCAAATGCCAAAACCCTCAAAAATCCAAAAAAAATCCCCAAAATCCCCAAAAAATCCCAAAAAAATCCCGGTGCCAACCTTTGGGATGATCCCACCCGGATCAGATCTGACCCCGAGAGCTTCTTCCCATAAAAAATAGAGAATTCCAGGATCCCTAAATTCCAGGATCCCTAAATCCCCTCTCTGCCCATCCAGAGACAAATCCCAAATCCCAAAAACCCCCGAAAAAACCCCAAACCCTCCCGGCCCGACCTTTGGGAATCCCCCAGAGCCTCATCCCGCTCCCACCCGGATCAGATCTGACCCCAAGAGCTTTTTCCCATGGAAAAGGGAAATTCCAGGATCCCTGAATTCTAACTCTGCCTATACAGAGACAAATCCCAAATCCCAAAAACCCCAAAAAATCCCAAAAAAATCCCTGGGACCGACCTTTGGGATGATCCCAGAGCCTCATCCCGCTCCCACCCAGATCAGATCTGACCCCAAGAGCTTTTTCCCATAAAAAACCAGAATTCCAGGATCCCTAAATCCCCTCTCTGCCTATCCAGAGACAAACCCCAAATCCAAAACATCCCAAAAAACCCCAAAAAAACCCGGACCGACCTTTGGGAATCTCCTGCAGCCTCATCCCGCTCCCACCCAGACCCCGAGAGCTTTTTCCCATAAAAAAAACGAAATTCCAGGATCCCTAAATCCCCTCTCTGCCTATCCAGAGACAAATCCCAAACCCCAAACATCCCCAAAAACCCCAAAAAAACCCCCAAACGCGCGCGGACCGACCTTTGGGAGTCTCCTGCAGCCTCATGCCGCTCGCAGCTCGCTCCGCTGCCCAGCCCGACAATTCCAGCCGCCCCAAATCCCCAAATCCCGGAGGCGCTCCGGGAATCTCCGGCTCCTCCCAAATCCCCAAATCCCCAAATCCCAGCGCGGGGCGTGGCCGGGAGCAGCTCTCCCTCCTTTCCCTCCTCCCTCCTTGCAGCCGGGAATTCCTGAAATCCTTTTTTGGGGATTTTCCCCGAGTTCTTTGGGGTTTCGGGGCTTTGGGGGCCGTACCTTGCGGGAGCGGGATGGCCGGGAAGCAGCGCGGCAGCGCCGCGGGGCGCGGGGCGGCCCCGGCCGGGCGCACGCAGCCGCTCACCTTCCAGGAGGAGCAGATTCCTGGAATCCAGGGAAAAGGCGGCTGGGAGCGGCTCCGGGGGGGCAGCGCCAGCGTGGGGAGGGAGGGGGCCGGGATTCCGGGGTTTTAGTGGGATTTCGGGGGGTTTAGTGGGATTGGAGTGGGAATTGGGGCAGTCCCGAAAGGCAGGAGCCGGGAATGGGACCGGGAATTGCACCGGGAATGGGAGAGGGAGGAGTGGGAATGTGGGGAGGGAGGAGGGACAGAGGGAGGGAGCCGGAATTCCAGCGGGATTCCAGGGTTTAGTGGGATTGGAGTGGGAATTGGGGGATTCCCAAAGTCAGGAACTGGGAACAGAGACGGGAATGGGACCGGGAATGGGGCTGGGAATGGGAAAGGGAAGAAGGAGGAGGAGTGGGAATGTGGGGAGGGAGGGGGGGGGGAGGGACGGGGTCCAGGGGGAGTGCA